GCCATTGATAATTGCCCATGTAATAAAATACTTTTGAATGTTCATATTTAATATTTTTTTAATGGTACAGTATAAAAGTAATTTTCAAAAGTTCCAGTAAAGGCGAGTATTTGAAAAATGAAATGAATTCTGTATACTACAGTATTACGATTATTAATCAAAAAAAAACAAAGAAACAATCGATTCGCATGTTGAATAATACTATGGTAATGAAATAGTTGATATGGATCTAATCTAACCGTTTTCTTGTTACGTCAAGTTAATGCACATTCACTTGACTTATGTCTGCTGATTGATCGAACAAACAAAAGTAATAAAAATAATCTAAATCAACGAAATGATCTAGTATTTGAAGAGTAAATGGTAAGAGTTATGGTGACTTTTCTTTTTCTCAAAATAGAAATTTTTTGTGAAATGATAATCGAAATAAAATTGTCGTAATAATTTTTGTCGTCTTTCTATATGAAAAACAAAGATCTACTCGAACATATCAGTACATGTATTGTTATCATTGAATAATTATAACAGATGTTGTTTTTTTGTTGAATACTTGTGTTTGTAGAAATTTGGAACTAATCTTAAAATATGCAATTCAGCTGTTTAACTATTTTCTATTCATCAGAAAATATCATTACTTAGTTAAATACTGCAGAGAAAAATGTTGATTTCGATTTTTATATTCAATATTTCGATCAGGATTGGACGAGTTCGAGTCACATTTTTTTTAATGAGTCTGACTGAATTCGAATTCGAAAATTGAATAACCTTAACTCGAGTCATCTAAGTCATTCATTAAAAAGAATTTTCATCTGTTTTCATAAAAAAAATCCAGTTTATAAGATAGAATTGTTACTTATTCATAATTTTCGTCTTAATTCAATGGATTGCATCTGAACGATTTGTTCAAGAGCTTTTTTCGACCTATATATTCATATGGTCGTAAATGGTAGGCTACAAGTATCATTGAGTATGTGTGTTTCTTGTCCTCATTGTTTTTGCTTCGACTCATTGCTGAAGAGTATACACGTATAATAAAATAAATGAAAATTTTGCATTACACCCACATCTTCATATTCTCTATCACGCTATGATATAATCGTTGGCTGACAGTATTGTTGATTACTAAAAAAAGATACTTCTGATCACTGAATTTTTCCATCATTCATTTCACATTATTTATTTCTCAACAAAGGTCGTGGATGTGGGATCATGTCCTACTCCACATTTATTAATTTAAAATGGTAATAAATAATTTTTATTGTAAACAAGTTTAAGTTTAGGTATTTGTTTGTAAAAAAGAAAATGATATTCTTTTACTGTGGTGTGAAACTGTATAAAATTGAAGAGTTGATTTATACAATTATTATTTTGTTAATTTATCTAGAGTAGTTGTGTCATTTTATTTTACGTGTGATTTTTCTTATTTTGGTTTTTGTGCGTAAAAACTAGGAGTATAAGTCTAGTTTATGTAAACACCTTTGTTGAGGATAAGAAAGTGGAAGATAGGTGTTTACATAAACTAGACTTATACTGTTAAATTTATTTTATATTTTTATTCTTCATGCATGTTAATCTTTTTAAAGCTCAGCAAAAGACTTCTATTGTCAAATGCGTGTGTGTTATACTAGAATACACATTTTATTTTGTTAATATTTTCTTTTTATTGTCATTTTGAATTAGTATTAAATGAGTGTAAAATATTTATTTGAAAGGCTTTTACAAAAAACAATAGAAGTATTACTTAAAAAAGAAATTAATACAATAAATAAACGCGAAAATATATCTGCAAATTATAATTGACATGTACATGGGATTAATAATCATATTCACCAAATATGAAGATATTTGTAACAAAAACAATCGAATAAGATTATCATTACATTTTATTGTTTATGTTGCAGTATTTTGAATGCATTGTCTTGCAAAATAACCGATATAATTGGCATCCGTATCCTGGTGTAAGCGAGCATTTGTAAAAAAAAAACATTTCTCTTGTAGCAACAAACGATCACTGTTAACAGAATCGGTATGAATGTTTATGAGTTGAGTGAATTTGAAAATCGTGAACAAAGATATTCCAATAACTGATGCGAGCTTTGTGAAAAGTGTTATAGAAATTAATCATCAATACAGTTAAATAGAATCTGATGGTTTAATACAGCCTGGAAACATTTTTTTTTCTAGATAATGATGATGTCAATTCACACTTTATTACTATAATATTGAATTCTAACAGCGGTGTGTCGCGTGGGCAAGGGGTCGATGGGGTTGCCCCCCACCCCTTCAATCTTGAAAATTTGTCGCTTTTCTCAAGCAGAGTTTCAGTGTTTTATTGTTTTGGTTTTCTCACCTATTTCCAAAAACATTCGGAACCTCTCTCCCTAATCCAGTCAATTTTATTCAAAAACTTCTGATCAATCTTCTAAGTCATCGAATCCCTTCGAATGCTGACGCTCTCAAGGAATCTCTGAACTCTAATAATAATACGACAAAGACAATAATTAATTATTTATATGTCACATACGGCAAAAAAAAAATTTTTTTTGACCTCATGAATTTGTTGTCTATTCATTTAGTAAACACTTACAACTAGTGCAATAAAGTTCAATGAATTTAGTAAGTCACATAGTTTTTCATTATCAAAAATAGATTCAGAACTAGTTAGATAGAGTCACATCAAAATCTTCGAACTCGAATAGAATCGATGGTCTTTTAAAATGCTGTTTGTTTTATTGATTTTATAATAATTGGTAAAACAACTACATGAATTAAAATGTGTTAGTATCTTTCTTCGATTATTAAATATGATAATTTTCCAATTAACATTTATATTGAAAATAATGAGATAATATTATTTCTCGAGGAAAAATGAAAAAAGTAGAAATACTGTATATGTACATTTATATGTGATAAAGAAGAAAAAACGAAAATTTATTGAAAGATTCATTCCTCAAAAACAAGGACAAACATAAACACATTTTAAAAAATCAAATAATTTCAAAATCTACTAGAAATGATCATGTATTTGAATTGTTTGAACATATATATTTCCTTCAATTATACGATAATACAAATGCGATGCTACCAGAAAATATTCTTCGTTCTACTTATGATTAACCAAAAGTTTTAAGAACAATAAATAAAATTATGAAGGATGTCAGTGTGAACATGTGAAAAATGAACAGCATCCTCACCCACACCCACGCTCTACTCTATAATCTCTTTTCATTCATTGCAGCTATATGGACAGCTAATAATAGATAATTGAATAACAAGTTGACAACGTCCTCTACAAACATGTTGATATGCGTTAGTATAGTTCTTGTATCTGTCATAGTTGTTTTTAAATTCCTTTTGCATTTTTGATCAGCGAAATGACTTAAAGGTAAATAATTCGAGTTTTCGATAAGAGCGGCAGAAAAGGAATTCGTTGCTGTGAAGTGTAAATATCTAGTGTGGAAAAGCATTGCCTGATTAGTGGCAGAAATAATTATCCGATTTTTATGAGATATCCACTATTTCGATAATCGGCAGTCGAAGCTTCGCATCGCATTTGCAATAGAGTCAAATTCGAATGCCATCAAGTTTTTGAATGTTTTTTATTTTTGACTTGAAATTATTTTCTGAAAGTGATCAATAGTTTTTCTTGAAATTATAATAATGATAGAGACATTCGAAATATCTTATTGTTTCAATATTAACAGAAAACTCACAGTATTATGGAAAATAAGTTTAGAACATTATAAGTTGTTGTTATTTTTAGAAAACCATATTTGCCATATATTCATATACAATATCAGATAGTGTTTTGAACTATTCTTTTCTAGGTAGAACCATACAAAAAATAAGCTCTTTTCATATCATAGAATTTGCTATAGGAATGCTTTGAAATGAGAAATAAAATGAGTTCTGTAGTGTCGTTCTCAGAAATAATGTTTAACGAAGTACACTCACATTTATTCTTTGTTTTTTCTATAAAAAAGATTGAATAAATGAGAAAAGCAATGAAAAAGCAGAAGTCAAAACAATTGATAACAAGCATAAAAAAAGAAGATCGGAAATAGAACCAACAAGAAAGCAAGAAAAAGTGATTGAATAATTAGCACAAACGACGATACAAAAAAAGAAATAGAACTATCAATTTTAATTGATAAATCTTTTAGATCAATAAAATGTCTTTAAAATAGAAAGAAGCAAAGGAAAAGAGAATCTAGCAGATGGGATTTATAGAAGGTTGTCCAAGATTGAAGCATTGACGGACACGTTTGTAGGTCTCTACTCGAGTCAATTGACTACTATAACCTGATCCGTTGTTACATTCGAGAGCGCCGTTGATAATGCGTGTCGTAGCAGCAAAATCACCTCTTTGAGCTGGTGCAGCCATACCATTTGCATTGTAGAACCATAGAGCCGTACTTACTGCTAGCTTAGGATCATTTTCTACTTTGTCTGGATCTGCAAGAAGATCAACACCAAGACTCTTACCTGCATTATGATAGTTACATGGCCATGAGAGCTGAAACCACCCACGACCATAGTACGATTTTCCTGGCGCAGATGAGATGCTACACCAAGAGCCACTGTAATGTGAACCACAGCCTAATGTATGAAAGAAAGGTGAAATTTTTCAATTTCAACTAATTCAATATTCAACAAAGATAATCGATTTTCATTCTTTCGACTAAATGATATTCAAGATATTCTCTACATTTTTTTGCGAAAACAGTTTTGAATTTTCATGTTTTGATCAAAATGGACTGAATAGATGTCAATGTCAACTTTATCAGTTATAAGTAGAAATGTTGAAATTTTACAAAAATAATTGATTTAATTCCATTTCACTTCTTCATTTTCTATAGTACAAATAACTTGAAGTGAATCAGTTTCCCTATTCATAGATAAACTAATAACATAGTATTCTCTCAAGAATGATAATGTTCGATATTCAAAAACATTCATGTCATAGAGCATACTTTAGATGTCTTTATATATTGAATAGTTTAGAAAAGCATACCTGGAGCACAATACTCTCGCATTGTCTTGAGTCCATCTGTCTCATGAAATACATGTGCAAGAAAGACAGCAGCTTCATCTTTGTTCACCGGCGTCCAGCCTGTTGCCTTTAGTCCATTGAATCGATTAGTGCGTAATGCAGAATCGATCGTGTTGAATACACAGGCAAATGTACTGCTGTCAATAACACCAACTGAACCACTGTCACGAGTGTTATCATTATTATTTCCATTAGCTCCTGTGCATGGACCTGCTTGACATCCGTTACCACAATAATCTGATCCTGTTCCACAGTAGCCCCATTTCGATCGACATTGAGTTGGATGAGGACAGGCGAGACCACCTCCATTAATACCACCATTATTATTCCCACTAGTTCCCGTACATGGGCCTGCTTGACAACCATCACCACAATAAGCCGATCCCGTTCCACAATAACCCCATTTCGACCGACAGTGAGTTGGATGAGGGCAGGCGGAGCGAACAAGCCTTCGAAGATTCAAGCTTTTCGTCTGAATCTCTTTATCGTAATTGTAGCCTTGAACATTGAGGAATATATCAGCAAAAAGAAGAGAAAAGACTAATATTGAGCAAATCATATTTATATTGGCTCTTGCGAAAATATCTTCTATATTATCTAAAGCAACAGAAAGTAAATGAGAATAACTATTCTAATAACTAGATAGAGAGAGATTACTTAAGCAATGAATTAGTAAGAGTAGCTTAAGTAGTATGAGATTCGATATATATTACTAAATGAAAATATGAACGATAAGAAAGACTGAAGAGTAACGAGCGTTTAAAGTACGTCAACTTAGAAATGATTAATACTATGGATTTTTTTCACATTAGCGAAATCAAAAACTAGAAGTGAAGCGAAATAAGCAGAGGGTATTAGCTTTTATACTACTGTTTGTTGTTGTCATTATCGACGAGTAAATGTTGGAACTGGGTGTTTCCCATAAGACAATTATGAGTCATGTAAATAGATGCATTGCTCGATAAGAATGTCCGAGTCTCGCTTGATTATGGGCAAAATAGGATTTCCCTCATCACTCAAGCAATCGCCATCGATGTGTCATGATCGTTGTGAGACTTACCACATATGAAAATAAGAAAAAAACCAGATGGGAAGAAATAAATCAACATAAACAATACATCATTCTCACTTTACTGTTGTTTGCTGCATTCAGCTCGATTTCATTCGATTATATTTGCACAATATGATTAAAGTCCATGTGTTTAACATTTATCATAGTCGAAGAATATTAAGAATTGAATTATACTGCCTATGATTTCAAGTCGGTTTACTGGATCTTAACTGATGCTGTAATCAATCTTTCCAGAATATGACTCTTATATTTCGTTTATTCATTACGAATGTTCTGCTCATACAAAGTTCTTCTTGACTTCAGAAAATTCTGCAATCGATTTTCGACAATATCTTTTCTAAGTTTTAGTCATATTTTTGAATTAGATCTTTCTGATAGAAAATTTCTGGAAAATTCTAGTGCAGTCTAATATCCTACATATAAACGACAATAAAATAAATAGAACCATTTTTCGTGTAATGAAATATATGTAAAAACACGATTGGATGTGTTGATGAAAAGTAACTAACCACATCTCTTACAACAAAATACATCTAGTCACTTTTTAAATGAACTGATTTTTCAAAAGTTTAATTCTTTAGCACAATAGAAGTACAGCATTATTCGAATTACACATGAAGATCGCATCTATTTGCATCTATAGCATATAACACGTTGTTTTATCGAAACTAAACATGTCTGTTATACGTTTACTAAGACTAGAGAAAGAGAACATGTGATTTACAAGGAATTTCTTCTGATGATAAAATAAATAAGTTCATGCATATGTGTCTGCATCATTTGTTTCAAGTTTTTACGAGAAAAATACATAAGTTATAGTTCCTAAAACATAAATACAAAAGACAGTTCTCGAACACTTCTACTTTAGTAGACGCTAGGATTTCATCATTTCTAGAGCCTGTTCTACATTTTTTTGAAAACTACTTGATTAAATTGACATAAACTAATCTATTGTTTTTCTCTAGAAGGCTGTTATAGTGTGACTCAGTTATATATGATATTTTCCTTTTCTCATTCTCTTGTTATGCTATCGTACATAGATGATACGTACAACATACATGTCTTTTCTTCTTTCCTTTTCTTCTCTTATCTTCATATACATAGGGCAATCAAAAAGTAGTGAGAGTGGTACTGTAATTCCTTATAAAAAATTTTAAGAAATTTTCTCTCTATATAGTTTGATTGAGAAAAGAATACTCTATTTTTCTATACTATTTGATCATACGTCAATTAATATTATAATAATAGAATTTCAATAGAATCTATTTTTCTATCACATGGGCCGGTTATACGAATGTCTATTTTTCGTGGATAATTTCTGAATAACTTTTGATAGAAACTAGCTAGAGAGCTATGGTTTTCATCGTTTGAAAGAGAAGATGAAGATGCAGCGAATTGTATATTATACATTTTCCTAGTATGTTGTCTGAAGTTTGTTTAATCAATTTTCTAAGTGTGGAAAAATGGTTTCTTATCAAAAAAAAAGAAACAGCAAAAACAAAAACGTCTTTTACAAAAATTGCCAGAAAAATAAACTTAGAGCTTCGACTAGATTACCTATAACTCCTGAATGATTAGTTCGAAACATCTGAACCTTGTGCAGTTTTGTAGATCTTCCATTGGGAGTTTGAATACACACTTGACAATTAAGAATTCATTGTAAACACTTCACTAGGTAGGTTTCTGTTCAAAGAGATCTATTGAAAACGTTAAAAAAGTCATTTCAAAAAATCTATAGTTTACGATTTAATGCACCTTCATTTCTTCTTTCAAACGATGAAAATCACAACTCTCTAACTACTGCCCATTTCAAAATAAAAGGCGGGTGGGTATTTTTTTAATATCTTTTGATAGAAATAAGATAGAGAGCTGCGGTTTTCACTGTTGGAAAGAGGCTTTTCCAGCGCATCGTTCCATATAAAATTGTTGAGGTTTACCTGGCAGTAGCTGTATCTATATTAATCTCACTAGTCGAACCTAACAATCAAAAACAAAAAAAAAGAAAAAGAGTTTCTAACAAAGAATAACAATCTAACTATTCATACCATGTCGAATACTTTGGTGTTGTACTTATAATTGATGCTTGTCTAGAAAAAATAGCACTTAAACGTTGAACATCAAGTTCTTGTAAAACAGATTCAAGATTTTTAATAAATGATGCAATTAATGTTGATATATCATCATTTTCATTTATATTCATTAAATATGTTAATTCAAGTACAGTTTCAAGTGAATCTTTATTTGATGTTTTTTGTGTAAATGTTGAATTTGATATTTTTCGATAGATCAAATTTTTGAAAACGACATTCCATACAATGACGAACAGCAGTTGTCATTGTTAAACAACAAAACAAAAATTTTTTTTAAATATAAATAGTCATTAAAAGAATTTCATATATAAACGAAGACGTTGTCGTAATATTCCACCATTCGGCATACTTTTTTTCTTGCTCAAATTCAGAAAAATTTCCATTATTTCCAAGTATAAATAAATCTGAAAAAAATCATAACATGTTTGAAAATTTTTAATGCATCTTTAGATGATAAACCTTTCGTATTTTCTAATAATTCAATTTCATGCTAAAGAGAAAAGTAACATAATTATAAAATAAATATAATAAATATTCATACATATAGATGCTGACATTGCACTTGCAAGTAAAGGATAATAGACTACCATATGCATTACATAATCCATCTGCCATTTGAGATATAATATGTACAACATTAGCACAAAATATTTGATTATCTGGATTATTTATTACTACAGTTATTGATCTAGTTGAATCACTAGAATACGAAAAAAAAACCAGATGATATTAATAGTTTAAATTTTAAATACTTACGATCTCCATAAACGAACATCAACTTCAATTGAATCAAAAACACTATGTAATAAACGAATATACGTTGGAGAATATTTAAATTCCGATATTGTAAATGGTGATAATTGATTTGTTTTAAATACTTGACGACTAGATGTTGATTCGGAAAAATAATAAATAGTTTTTGATTCGAAATCTTTCTTATCATGTCAATGAGTTTGGCTATCCGAATCCGTAGATTTCCTATCAAAATTAGTAAATACTAAAAAAAAAAAACTTACAATTTAACTTACTAATGGGTGTTGAAGCAGTTTGTTCATCGACTGGAGTTTGTGAATCACTAAGTTTTCTTGGAGAAATTGATGTTTTAGACTGAATATTTCATAAATATAATTTCACAATCGATTATTTATATAGAAAAACAAAAACAAAAACTTACTTCATTATCATCATCATCTTTCATACTTTCAACGATTTTATTAACTTTTCGATAATAATCTTCTTTAGTTATCTAAAAACAAAAAAAACATAATCATAATAATATAAATCAATTGTTTTTTTTTCAATTTACTCGTCCATGTAAAATTGAAAGTGTATCGATCTATACACGCCATCCACCATATTCATATTTAATAGAATGATGTAATAAAATTTTTAATAAATGAAATATTTGATCAGTTATTTCGAAAATGTATTTCTTGTGCTGAATAAACATAAGCAAGACAAAATAGATAGTCTTGTCAAGCAAACATTTGTAATATCATTCTTCACAAAAACAAAAAGAAAAGAATAAATATCTTTGTATATTTTCTATATATTACCTTCGATTTTCTCGACTTACAGATGCAAGTAAAATTAAATCATTAAGAAAACATAATTTAATATCATATAAATGAATATTATCAGCTGCATTTCGAACGTAATGTTGCAATTACTTTGATCATAGCTAAAAGTGATTTACATAAATTTCGATTCAAATCTATCTTTTATAAAAGTCTTATATGTTGAAGACACATTGTTCAATACTTTTAAATTTAATTTACCTGGATTTTCAATTTTTCAATCAGCTGTAATTTCTGAACTTCGTTTTTCAACAACTAATCCGCTCACTTTTTCCACAAGTATCTATTTAATAATTAAAATTAATATTGAGATTATAGATTTATTTTCTATTTTACTTCAAATAGAACATTATATGTAACCATTGTAAAACTATTTGGATGAAGTAAAATTCGATCAGCCAATAATGAAAATAGATTATGTGATTGCATTGCATCAGTTTTTCGTCTTTAAATATTAAAAATAATAAAAAAAAAATTTTTTACAAAGAAGAAAATTTCAGTTGTAATTTTACCTTAATCCTTGTCGCGACGATCAAATGCAGGTACCATTGTTCTTGAATGTTCGGACATAAGATTTACAGTCATATCCAATACATCAATAAGATTATCATCCTAAAAAACAAATTTCCTATATAGAAATTCTGAAAAACATTTATCATTTCTTACTTAATAAACTGTATGAAGATAATTAAGAATAGCTTGAAGTTCTTCTTCTTGAGTACCAGAACTACTTATAACAAATTGTTTTAAATAGAGTAACATATAATGTCTCATTTCAATAATTTGTTCACGTGTTAGTCGATTTCCATCTAAAATTTATTAAATTTGATTTAATCGAAAGAAATTTTCATTTACCTAAACCTTTTGGTTTAAAACTATACTACGATGAGTTGGATCAATAATCCAATAGAAATATTTTAATGTATGTAATGTTTGAATTATTTCACTTATTTATTGAATTAAATGATAGATTTCTGAACAAGTAACAAATTCTGTTGCTAAATATGTATATAAACGCATTTGAACCTAAGATTATTTATTTATTTATCTATATCATATTAATAAAATAAAACAAAACATACATCAATTGAACAATAAATCCATATAGCAGGATTAAAAAATATATGAACAAATAATTGTTTTAATAATAATGGACTATTTTTGCTTTCAATTTTAACAAAAAATGTTATTAATGATTTAAGAGAATTAAGTACATCCATATTAATATGTTGTTTTGATGCCTAAAAATAAAAATCTAGTAATCATGATGTTCACTCTAAAAAAAAATTCACCAAATTTCTTGAACACTGAATCTTGCATTAGTCAAGTTTATATAATTACATCATTCAACAAGAAAAAAACTTTTACTTCGAAATATAATTGCTGTAATTTTACTTCAGTTCTTCAATGAATATCATAGTAACAGAAAAACTAATTTTCGAATTTCAACTTGAAATTATGCGTAGACACAGATCTTAATGGGAATAGTTTTTTGTGTAATTTTAAATACATACTTTTTCAAGATGATATCCAATAGCGAGAAAACCTTTTGATATTGTATTGTATATGATCGTTCAATTAATTCACATAAAGTTGATATTAATATTGAACAAACATTATAATTAATTGAATCATCTATTTGTTGATGATCTAATTGTCCATCTTTCACGAGATCAGATTTGATAAATCATATGCAGTAAGCAATACAACTTTTGGAAGGTCTATCTAATGGAATGAATAAATACTTGAAATTAGACATTTGAAAGTATTCTCTTTCGAATACTACGAATATGCAGGCATTTGATATTCATTGGCATGACTATTTTTATTGAACAATTGGTAAATACTATAATAGTTTATCTTTGATTCTGACAGATTTCGGAGATTCAGGATTTCTGGTTTAGGAAGGATCAAAGCGTAGTCTGCACAAGACTCAAGCCTGTCTAATAATTATTGTAATTCATTAAGATTCATCTTCATCTTAACAGAGCAACTATCTACTTTTCAACTGACCTTTTTAGAATTCGTGTTCGATGAATACTACACATCTGAAAAATAATACGACAATTTTTCAGCAAAATTATTTCACTCAACATTCGTCGACTTCGTTTTGGATAACTGTGTGGTTTATCCAAGAGAAAGTCGTTTAATTTCAACTTCATAATTTGATTCGAAAGTAAGAATGGTAAGGAAATCTACAGTTACATATAATAAATATTCTTTTAATTCTTTACTTGTAGTCGTGAATAATATACTGGGTTTTTAAACTGGTTTACTAACGATCTTCGGAAGTTCTTTTGTTGTCTATCTAAATGAACAAATAAGATCAAATAGTTCCTTCTTTTCATCAGTTGTTAATCTTCTAGTTTAAATTTATTGAAAAGGGAAAAAATCTAAGTTCATCTTTTATATTCTTGTCATCAACAATTTTTAATTTTGCTTGGTGTACAAGAAAAATTAAACATTGCTTTGTTGAACTTCATTTATCAGGACAGTTGTTTTCTCTTGAACGTTCTCAGCCCATTGAGCTTTCGTTTTGGAGCCTGCTATAAGTTCTTTTGTAATGTCCGTCAAGAATTGCTGATGTTCCATCACCTTTAGTAATACATTTGAACTGGAATTCTAAAGAGAAAGAAAAAGAATTTATTTAAATGGAATGACAAAAAATTATCTAGTTGAATTTTTAAAGAATACCAAAAGTGTGTCAGTAGTTTGGACTGCCATGGAAAGAATAACGAAAGTTTACGTACACACAGAATGACCGGTAGAATAAAAATGAAGTGGAAATATTTTTTCTTATTCAATGACGAGAAAGAAGAAAAAGATTCAGCCGGCTAATACGATCAGTCAGAAATAAAGTGTATATCTCTTTTTCTATCTACTCATGACCATTGACTATTTAGAAACAATGTGATAGAGACGCTTTTGTTTATAGATACAAAGAACAACCGCCTAATTCTCTTTGATAACTTCTCGAATCAAATAAAAAAAATTATATTTCGAAGAACTAAGAAAAAATATAAATATCAATTAATCCTCATCGAACTGAAGCATATTTTCAGATTCAACGGAGTTTTCTTATTTAGATCGATAGCAGTAATAACAATCAACTTACTAGTTGAGTTCGAGCACTTGCTTGTTGACCTTGAGATGGAATGATTCGATTATTATTGTTATTTGGTCGTTGATAATGATCAGCTTTTGCGCAGTCAAGTCTGAAAAACAATGGTACTATCAAGTTAATCAATTTAACAATATAGAATAATTTAGTTACACTTGTGATTGATGCTCGTAAACGACACCACAGGAACATGGATACATTTTAATGAGAAGATACTTGGATCAGTTGATTAAACAAATATCTAAAGTAAAAAAATAAAATGCATTTGTCTCCTATCAACTAAGTATAAGTGATACTGTGTGTTCGAACAAAGTATTCAAACCTCAAATCTATTGAAAGAATATCGATGGATAGATTATCGAAAGTATACGATATGTTATATCATTTGACTATTTTAGTTGAACGGTTTGTATACATATCTTCTACTCTTGTGTTCTCCTGTTCGAATCCACCTCTTAACTTTATCGAAACTAATGTAAGTTAACTCTATAATTCTATGAATTAATGTAAATCAGTATATGGATCGCACCTACAAGTTGAGTTCTACGAAGTACTTGACGGGTTTTGTTTTTTTCTATCCTTCAAGGTATGCAATACCACAGATTCAGAAACACTGCGAAATGATTTTAAGAAAAAATCGTTTCGCAACGTTTATTTTAGCAAATGTGAAACGCGTTAAACCGGCCAGCATTAACGCGTTTTGCAGCTATAAAAAAACGCGTTTTCAGAACGCGTTTTTTTCGCAAAAATTTACGTCATGGGTGACTCCACCTGACTTCAAGTGACTCCACACTTGTGTGGAACCCTTACTATTATAGAAGCATGATGCTTTCCATTTCCTCATATGACTATTCAAAATAGTAAAAACATAGTGTAAGTAAAAGAGCGCGTGGATTCTCGAAGAGGCTACAGGAATATTTCAATAACCCTTTTCTTAAAAAAAAACTTTTATTTATTACTGTCTTGTGCATTTGCTTAATAAATCAATTAAATATAAAAAGAACAAAAAACAAATGGACATAGAAATATAAAATCAATCTATTACTCGATAGATAAGATTAATCATGCAAGGAAACAATAAGTGAATTATTAAGTTAAAAACATCGATTCGATATAAAACATACGTAACTACTGTATATAAGAGAACATCTAAGTAATCGGAGAAGTACAAGTAAGACGATGTTCCACGTCTGAGTCTTGTCTCCTGCCCGTTTTTTTTGCTGATTCTCTGAGGCTATATGACGATTTTATTGTTTGAACGTTTCTTTTCACTTGTCTCTTAGTTTGTAATGATGATACAAATTATATATGTCGTATCGAAGGTATACAACTTGGTGCAATTTAACTTCAGCAATAAAATTTGCTGAAATTACAACTTCAACAGAAAGTTTGTCGAAGTTCTCCTGCAACAGTTAATTAATTATTATTCATCAAAAGGCGAGCATCACCATGATGAGTCGCATATTGAAACTTCTCTTTTCAGCTAATCAATATGTATAACAATATTTATAAATATTCAAAAATTCTACAACGAAATCATTTTCCCAATTCTCATGCTACTGCTTGTTCTTGACGTTGGTATTGCTGTAGAACATGTAGTTTAGATGAATTGTTTGTTGTTATTGATCAAATCACTTCACGTCGCATCACTGAATATTTGTCTTTGTAGAACTACAATTGATTGTAGACTGTAGCACTCATATTTCAATTTTATAGTTGTGATAATGTGTGCGCTTTATTCTGACGTAGAAATATTCGAATATACTATATTGGTCATCTCTTTACACCCTTCTTTTACATATATTGGAATTATACATGATCCATAATTTTCTTATTTTAGTTATACTTGTCTTTCATTTCGCAATTCACAGTTAGTTTTACTGCATAAGATCAATTACAATCGGATATAATTAGTAATAAAACGCGAGAATGATGAGCATATTGTCTCATATCTATGTTTTTAAGGTGACTGACTGCACGAAGTGCAGTTAGCCACATTATTGCTTTTCACTCGCTTAGTTGCCATGGCAAATTCTTCTTCTTTAAGGCGGCTCACTGCATGCAGTGCAGTAGCCGACTTATTGCTTTTCACTCGCTTAGTTGCCATGGCAAATTCTTTCTTTGAGGCGGCTGACTGCACGAAGTGCAGTCTGCCGACTTATTGCTTTTCACTCGGTTAGTTGCCATGGCAAATTCTTCTTCTTCTTCTTCTTCTTCTCAACACATGAGTCACGAATCAAGTCAGCCACTCGTTCTCAGTACCTGAACATCTTTCTGAACTGGAAAAAAGTTTGCTGAGATCGTGAGAGCGTGACGAATGCACATCTGAAATCCGTTTTCCAAAATTCCACTCGGTTCGGGAGATAATAAATATATGTAAAACGATAATTAACAGCTGATATTTTCCTTATATGCTGATGTATTATTCAACCTGAAGCGACCATTGATATCTCAGATGTTAAATGCATATGCAATTTAATTATCGTCTATTGTGACTTAAATTCATCCAAGAAAGAGTCTCGAGCAATAAAGAAAATCTGACCATGGCTTATATAGATAAAATGAGCAATACGATAATGAACAGCTGAGTGTTTTCTTATATGGTGATAGCTGATGACATTCATTATCTCTCACTTATCAGCTGAGTGGACACAGCTGAACTCTACTTAAATTCATTATGATTTTCACTAGGAACGGCTACGATCTTGAAATAGAAGATGTCATATACACTCCTGTTTTAATATTTTTTGGGCTCGTGCAGTCAGCCGCCTTATCTACTCGAGCTTCGCTCGAGTGGAAGTCTAGTCTTCTTCTCCTTCTCAACACGTGAGTCACGATTCAAGTCAGGCACTCATTTGCCGCAACTAAGCATCGTTTCACATTGGGAAAAAGTTTGTTGAGATCGCGAGAACGTGACGAGTGCACATCTGAAATCCATTTTTCGAAATTCCATTCCGTTCGGGAGATAATAAATATATGTAAAATGATAATTAACAGCTGCTAGTTTCCTTATATGGTAATGTATGATTCAACCTGAAACGACCATTAATATCTCAGATGTTAAATGCATATATAATTTAATTATCGTCTTATGTGACTTAAATTCATCCAAGAAAGAGTCTTGACCATTGAAGAAAATCTGGCCATGACTTATATAGAGGAAATGACCAATACGATAATGAACAGCTGAATGTTTCCTTATATGGCGATAGGTGATCACATTCATTATCTCTCACTTGTCAGCTGAGTGAGTACAGCTAAACTCGAGTTAAATTCATTATGATTTTCTCTAGGGACGGCTACGATTTTGAAATAGCAGATGTCATATACACTCCTATTTTGATATTTTTCGGGCTCGTGCAGTCAGCCGCCTTATCTACTCGAGCTTCGCTCGAGTGAAGGTCTAGTCTTTATTTGAGTTGATAAGTGAAAAGCTTGAAGCTTCCTCATGGATGAATCAATTTTTTATTCATCAAGAGTTCAAGTTTTTCATTGACTATATAATACCATTTGTTGCCTTTTTCGATTCTTCAGAACATTTTGAGCACTCCAAATAAATAGAAAACTCAAAGAAATTAATAAATAAAATGATTTATTTCTAGATAATTTATTAGGTGCTACAACCAGCTGAAAAGAAGCAGAAGAACACCGCAAAATCAATGGAACATAGAAATAGTATTCTGGGCCAGAAAGTCTTCAGATTTTTTTACGGCTATTTCCTGCCGAAAAGAATAGGAAGTTGGTCGGAAGTTATTGGAAAAATTTCGTAGACTTTACGATCGGTGATACTGCTTTCAAGTTCCATCGATTCTCTGCCGGAAGCAGTCGGTACTTCTTGACCTAGATCAGTTTTTGATCATTCTAGAATAGTTCTTGCATGCTCATGTAAGAGTTCATGAAGAAAAGTTTGTATGTTCTTGCACACGATAATAAAATGCATGTAGACTCAACATTTTGCGAGCAGTTACACATGATTTCTTATGATAATTTAAGAACAATTATATTATTAAATATTTAGATGAACTAATAACATCTCGTTTCTTGGTAATGATCAAGCGAATAAAAATAGTTCATAATTGATCGATCCACCGATGAATAAGATTGATAATACAGTGACATTCATGTTTCTTTGATGCAGATTTTATGTATGATATTAGAATATTTTCTATTGATATTGAAAACAAAATATGAAAAGAAATTTTTTTTAATTTAGAGAACAAATGTTAATTTATAAAGATCATTATAAAAACCCTTTCAAAGACGAGCACTTGTCTCTTTATGGTTGGTATTTTATTTTGCAAATGGTATAAAGAAAAAAAAAACAACTAAAAGAGTTCACTGGTTTTTTTTCAATTGAGTTCTCTCAAACTATAGAAATGTTCGATAGTTATCTAATATGAATCAAAGAATAATCAATACAGATTCCATATTTTTCATTTAGAAGTAAAATTTTTGCTAGAAAGAAATATGAACATTTTGAATCGGACTAGAGCTATTTTACTTCTCATATTGAAAAATTTTTTTGTTGTAAAACGTTGGTTTTTATTTTTCAATTAAAGTAATGATAAAATTTTATATTGTATATAATGAAGTAACGGATGTACTTTCAATATATAGGAATCATACAATAGTTAAGCGGATATTTTATATTCATTGTGTCTTTTTTTTTATAGAAAAGAATAATTTATAAATTAGGAACATCAGACAAGGTAGCATAAGATTATTAATTAAATCAATCATATATTAAAATCTGTATATTAAAATCATCAGTTGTTCCATTGATAAGATTCGATCACTTGATATTTTAGTTTTTATCAATTCGATTAAATATTTCTTCACATAAACAAACAGAAAAGAAAAAATCTATTATAAATAAGTATTTGATATTTTCGCGTATTTTTATAAATACTGCTAAGTGATATAAGCCATATCACTAAGAATTGAAGGTCAAAGCTTAGTATATTATTCATCATTAAAACAAAAAATAATTCATGAAAATAATTTTTTTCACCATTGATTACTTTGATTTCTATTCGAAATCTTTTAAAAATTGTTTCATCTACATATTTCAAATTCTGTAGCACCATCAATCATTCATACTGAATCATTATCCAACTGTTTTTCAGCTGATGTGGGTGGTATAATAACTGATTCATATCTAGCAAAGAGAAGAAGAGAAAAAAAACAAGAAAAAGAACGCAACTGTTTGTTTTTTTTTCTGTTGCGTCGGTTTTTTTTTCTTGTTGACTAATATCGTTCTATAAATACGTTGATTATTACACATAGAGCTACAGTCCAGCGTGGGAGAATTGTTTCTATAAGAAAAAGAATAATGTAGCTTTGCTTTAGATTGATTGTCTTCTTCTAATGTATTTTTGATTTCCATATCACATTACAATTAATAATGAATGATAACGAACAAGATAACTCAACAAATTCATTAACACAGAAATTACCAGCAACAGTTTCAAATGAAATCAATTCATCTATGTCGTCTGTTGATATTAATGAACAACAAATCGATGTAAATAATGATTCTAAAGAGAATGAAACTCAAGATCAAATTGAAGAAAACAATGATGATGAATTTATTCGTGTAACAGCAGCACATCAAATACTTAATGAAGGTAATTATAAAATAAAATTTTCTTTTCTTTTTTAAAAATATTTTTCATTTAGCTCAAACAAATGATCAACAAAAAAATTATCCATTAGCACTTCAACTTTATCGTATATGTGTTGATCTTCTTCTTGAAGAATTAATGTTTTCTGAAGGTACAGAACAATCTCGTCGTTATTTACGTGAAAAATGTACAGCTCTTATGGATCATATTGATATACTTAAAACAAAACTTGATTCAATTCCATCACCTGTCACAAATCAAGAATCAACTAATAATCTCCCAGCTGATCAATTAGAATCACTAAATTTATCTTAAAGAAATCTTTTTTTTTATAATTCTTTAGGTAAATTTTCATTTTAATTAACATTCGTGATATATAGTTAAAAATATTTTTCTTTTTTTTTTTTTTTTGTTTTTTAAATAATTTATTTCAATCTTTCTCATTTGGCGCATATGTGAATACATTTAATAAAACATTAGCACAACAAAATGAGCAAGAAATAAAATATAAATCAATGATAATTATATATATTTATATGATGGTTAACATGTAGAGATTCTTTCGAGAATAATAACGATAAATAATAAGAAAAACTGAATGGATGGATTACCATATATGTATATGTTTATATCCAATACCCTAACCGTTTGCGTGTTTTGTTTTGAAAGACAGGCGTAGAGAAGACAAAAAAAACACAGGAAGGTCAATCACAACGTTTCCTATCTACCATTGACAATCAATCATCACTGTCACACACACGTATATATTGATATAGAAAGGATCATAAAGAAAGAAAAGAACAATTAACGAAAGAAAAAGAAAAAAAAGAGATATCAAGGTAGACAAGAAGTGATAAAAAAACCGACAAAATATTCTCACAGTTAGGCTTTAAATGTTCCTTTTTTTTTCTTGTATTTTTCTATTGAGCCTTTATAATTTGAGATATAACAATGAAGGTATAGACTTAGTAGTACCAACAAACAGAGCACATTATTATCAATTATTTTTTCACAAGGCTGCCTGAACAGACTGACGCTAAAGAGGAAAAAAGATTAACAAATATTTTAATAAAGATATTTATTTAAAAATAAAAACAAACTTACCCAAATGTTAAGAATATCGGTTACGGTATGTTGTGGATTTAATTTAAAAAGATGAGAAACAAATATTGATGAGATTTGGTCAAAAAACGGATGCCCATCTAAAATATCAATTAGATTATATTAAAAATTACATTGAATTACTTTCTACTAATTATATAAAAGAAAATATTAAACACGATGTTTGATCGGACTTTTGATAATGTCCAATATTATCATGTGAATTAGATTTCCATAAGTGTTTAACAAAATACATATGCTATTTACAATGTAATCATCATATCAATTATTCTCTGTTATAAATTATCGTTTTATGTAAAAGAAAAAGTTTCTAGAAGATTAAAGTATGAAATACTACAGATTTGTTTATATTTCACATGAAAAAGATTTTCTCGTCATTATTTTCGCTCTATTGATTTTTACATCCCGTTATGCAAAAAAAACATAAATTAACTATAAACAATTATTGGAAATTACCTATATTTATTACTATAAGTCACATGTAATAATGCCCTGAAAGTTATTAATGATAGACATAAATATCAATCATCGTCTATGTGAAGGTGATATGCGATAAAATTCTCTACTATAGACTTCGATATACAATAATCGATTAGATTCTCCGTTAGTTTGTTATTGGAATTTATAGAAAATTTTTCTTTTACCTGCAAATTCTAATCTTGGCGGCATTGTTTTTGTTAATGATAAAACTTCTGGTGGTTGTTCTGGATAAAATGTTGTTATATGTAAACGAAGTGATGGTATAAGAGGATTTGATTTTTCAAGTAATTTACATCGAAGTATAATACCATTTTTACTTAAAAATTCATCATCATCATCATCATCATCATCATTATCAATATGTTTTCTTGTGCGTGATACTGATATATATTCAATTGAATAAATATTATCTGGTAATTGATTAATTTCATCATTAAGATTAGATAATAATGATGATTGATTAGATGAACGAATTTTTATTATTGAAGGATTATCAACATCAAGACGTATTATTCTATTTAAATAATAAAATTTATTTTAGAAAAAAAAACCCAATGAAATCATTTATACTTATGTGGAACACCATTAATAACATCACATAATGGTTCAAGATATCGTTTTAATATATTTATTCGATCTTTTTGATCACGTACAAGAAATTCTTTAGTTGCTTTTAAACATTGATTAAATACATTTGTTTGAGAATTTGTTGTAGTAGTCGTAGAATTTGTTGTTGTTGTTGTTGTTGTTGTAGATATTGATGTTGATGAATTATTTACTTGTTGTAATCGATTCTAAAATTTTCTTTTCTTTGATTATTTTAAATAGAAAAAAAAAACAACGAATATTTACAGATATTTGATCAAGTATTTCACGCAAACGTTTAGCATGTGGTAAATATTCATATGTTGGATTATTAATGAAATGCAATATTTGTTGATGAACTGATTGAACTTGGCGAACTTTATCGGTATTACCTTTAAAAGAAAATTCATATATTAATATGGATTTTTTTTCTTTTGTAAATTTTGTTTTACCTTCATTGGTAAATTTTTGACATAAAAGTTGTAATCGATTGATATTTTCTTTAAGATATTTTATTAAATTTACTATTTCATCATCAGGACTTGAAATACTACCACTACCTATATAATAAACATTCAATTATGCTTTATTCAAATGAAAAGTTATAATTGAGACTCATTAATTTTACATATACAACAGTTTTCTAAGAATAAGAAATCGACGAGATTTGTAAGATTTTTCGATTCAGTGTTTACATAACATGTGTAGAGAGATGAGGCTATTGATTTCTTTCCTGATCAGAGCAATAAATAGCAATAAAACGAACGTTGAATAATAAATTGCACAAACATCGTCAATATATTATCTCTCACACAAACTAAATTTTCTCAGTAATTCTGAAATTTTTTTCTTTCCAATATAGTATGATCGATTTGACTATCAATTCACTAGAATCAATTCGTATACTAGCGAGGAATCGAATACCCACCATTTGAACTTATATTGTGTCTACAAGTTCGCTTTGATGAGACTAACAAAAGTCAAAAGAAGTTCGTTGTCATGAGTCTTTGAAACCGAGTTATGATCATTGCATTGAATTTTCGACCTGACTTGAGGTATCTGCTGGAAGGTCAAAAAAAAAACAGAATTTCT